TTACCAATATCAATGGATAATCACTTTTTTGTTAAAACCTTTGTTAGCAAGTTTTTTTCTTCCTGAAACACATTTTCCTTAGAGCAGGTGTTTTGGTTTCTATCATGTAATAATTTGATACTTTTGATGTGTCTGTTGTGGTTTGAGTGGTAATTTAAAAATCTGTTGGTGCGGCTTGGTGTTCCGTAAACTTTGGTTGAATATCCTGTATCCTATTTTGAAATTAGGATATCTAAAGAAGTTTTTATCATGTTTTCTTTTTCCGTAGTAAATTAAATTGATTCTTCTGATGATCAGAAATTTATTTATTGTTTCTTGTCCATGAGGCCAAATATAAATATAGATATAATTATTTCCAAGGATAACCTGATCAAAGGTTTCAATTAAATAAGTGTATAGATTCATCGTCTGCGTCTTTTTTCATGTACTCTCCTATCTATATTAGTTTTACAGTGCGTTATATTACAGGTTGCACTTAAAGGGTTCCTTTTTTAATTATAATAAAATTATTAATGAGAATGCCGGAAAACAGATGGCAAAAAAAATAGAAGAATGGACTCCGCCAACTAGAAGAAAACGAGGTAGAACAAGACGATCCTGGAGAGACGATGTCGACAATGCAATGCGCCAGCTGTAAAAGACTCGCTTGTTATATATTATATATAAAATTATTAATTAAAATAAATAAACAAACATTATATAAAATAAATAAATTTTATTAAGATAATACCTAAATAAAAAATCTTAAAAACATATTCATGGTAATATTTTACAATGAGTTACAATAAATCAACAATAATATGGTCAAGGGTTTTTAATAATACAAAAAATGTTTTTTTTTTGTGGTAAAGTATAAAAGTTTATGAAAATATGCAGTATTTTTTTCGGAGATTTCAAAGCTCAATATTTTAAAAGTCTGCAGGCAACTAATTTTTTTTTTGTTTTCTTTTCTCTTTAATTGCTAAGATATTTAAAAGAATATTTATCGTAACAACTGTATTGGGTAGGAATCTTAGCTAAGATTCCTGATTTTGTTTCTATGAGTCTGTCTTCGTGTCTACCATAGATCAGATCCAACTTCGTAACGAAAACGAAGGTAAGGTAATTCGAGGACAGATGGCGCTAGGAAGAGATTAAAACACAAAAGAAAAAATAACAAAATACAATAAATAACTAATACATCTTCTTAGAATCTCACAAAAATTCACATAAATCCTAGAAATAAATATAAGTAAAGTTTTTCGTTTACCAAAAAAAATAATTGTAAATAATTTATTTAAAAAAGTTCGTGACATCTTACATTTAAGTCATTTTCAGTACAAAATAAATATATTATAGTTTATGAAGTGACTCATATTTAAGAGAAAATAGAGACAATTTACAAAAGAAATGATTGAAATAATATGAAAATTATAATTTGTTATTATGACTAAGAGCAATCTTAAAGTTCGCCCACTTTAAGATCTCAACTACAGCCCCAAGTATTAGCGATTCCTTTGTTCAATGGTTAATTAAACTTAGTCTGCCATATTAAAAAAAAAAAAATACTAAATATAGACTAGGGATTATTCCATCCCTCTGTATTGCAATATTTTATAATCTGTGGTATAAAATTAACTTAACAGAGATCATAACATAAAACTTAAATATTGAGTGTTTTAACCTGAAGGATTTTTCATCAAGTTGTTTAAGAGTTTCTTATTTATATAGCGTGAAAAAAATTAATAAATACGTTATAAAAATAAGAGAATAATGACAAATAATGAATTTTACTTTTCATATATTCATTCATTATTTTGACTTGAGATAATGACAATTTCACATAAGTAGGATTTTTTATCACTTCATTCCGTATTCTGTCGGCTTAAATTACAATCGTTTAGTTATTATCAAAAAACTAAAATACTTTACTACTATCCGGTCTGCATATGGTGCCATACGGTGACGTAATACTGTGGAAAATATTTTGTACTCTGTATTTAGAATCGCAATTCCTGTGGTTAGAGCATTAAAAGATATCTCCTTGTTTGTGTATGATGCAAAGTAATTCCAATATTCCAATAATTGGTGAGGAATCTCTGTGTCCATATTTCTTTTATAAGTTGCTGTAATGCCATAATGGTATAATGATCACCTTCTTTATACAGTTCAGCTGGGAGATTATCTATTCCGGGTGATTTGTTTCTGGCTAGTTACAAAAACCGATTCGTGAAGTTAGCTTTTATTGTCCAAGTTTCTACTCCATACAGAAGCACTGAGTAAATGTAGCATTTCACAAATCAGTACCGTGCCGTTAAATTAAGGCTTTTGTTGCTAAGAGGAGTTCTCATTCATAAATGTTCATCTTTTCTGTTTAATTCTGCTACGTATCTCTATATCTGGGTCTAGATCCTCAGTTACCTTGCTTTCCAAATATCTGAAGGTAAAGGCTTGACGAATACTATTACCGTTCACATTTTCTCCTCTCTTTTGTTTCTCTATTTTTCAAAATAATCTTGCATCAACTTCTCTGTCTGCTTTATTATTGTTTTTTCTAAATTTCTGATTTACGTTGTTTAAAAAATTGATTATTTTTTTTCAATATATCTCATTAAACAATACTTTTTAATTTGTTAATATTTCTAATCTTAGGAAGTTTTTTATTGCTATTATGCCGACGCCTTTCCGAACGATTCAAATAACAATCGTAGTCTTAGAACTGCTATATATAATTTAGCTCTCCAGGCCTAGAAGGCCCATGGCTTGGTTTACTATTCTTTTCCATTCTTTTCTATTTGTTGCTTTATTTTTCCAGTTTGGTATTTTAAGTTTTTCTATGTCTTTTTCAACCTCCTTCTTCCACCTGGTTTTCGCTTTGCCTTTCTTCCTTTTCCCTCCTATTCCTCCCATTAGCATTCTTTTTGGCAGTCTCGTGTTTCCCATCCTTTGGATGTGTCCCAACCATCTCAGTCTTTGTGACTTTATGATCCCTACGATATTCGGTTCTCCATACATCTCCTCTAATTCCATATTTGGTCTTTTTATCCATATACCATTCCATAATTTACCTCCAAATATTTTCCTGAGGACTTTTCGTTCCCAGACTTGCAGCAAGACTTGCTCGGATTTGTTCATTGTCCATGTTTCACTGGTATATAATACAATAGGTCTTATTACTGTCTTATATATTCTTATCTTAGCACTTCTAGATATGTTTTTGCTTCTTAATAAATTGTTTAGTGCAAAAATACAACGGTTAGCGGCCATAATTCTCACTTGGATTTCTTCCTTCGTATTTGGTCTTCTCGTGAATGTCGCTCCTAAATACTGGAATATTTCTACTTCTTCGAATTTATATGTTTTTTCATCTGTTATTACTGTCAGATATTGTTCTTGTAGGTAATCTCTTTCTGTCCATTCCATATATTTGGTCTTTTCTTTATTTATGTACATCCCTTTTTTTCTCCCTTTCATTTCTAATCTTTTTGTTATTTCTTTTAATTCTTGCGTACTTCTGACTATCAGTACAATGTCGTCAGCGAATGCTAAGCATTGGTGTTTTCTTTGATATATAAGTCCTGACCTGTTGATTCCAGCTTCTCTGATGGTAACTTCGAGGACGATACTTAACAACAGCGATGACAGTGGGTCTCCTTGTCGCACCCCCTCACTGACCTCAAACTTATCTGTTTCTTCGCCATTTATTTTAACCCTATTCTCTGTTCTTCGTAGTGTCACTTTTACCATTCTTATCAGTTTTTCACTAATTCGCATTTCACGTAGTGCTTTGTATATTTCTTTGCATTTTATCTTATCGAACGCTTGTTTAAAGTCAAGTAATAGGGCCATTGTAGGTTTCCCATATTCGTAGCTTTCTGCTTGTATTTCGCGCAGTAGGAAAATTTGATCCTCTGTGCTGCGCACTCTTCTGAATCCACATTGATATTCCCCTATGTCATTATCTATATTTTGAGATAGCTTATCTTTTATATATATATATATATATATATATATATATATATATATATTGCAAGTACTTTATATGCAACATTTAGTAGGGCTATTCCCCTGTAATTGTGGCATAAACTTTTGTCGCCTTTTTTGTGAAAAGGGCACAGTGTCGCCTGTTACTTTATCTTTTCCTGAGCTCTTATTATTCTTTAGTTTCTTTATTATTTCTTTATTTCTTTTTCGTTAGGTGGTCTTTCCTCTATTTGCTCTTGATCGACATTTTCCTTCACTTCTTCTTCCTCTTCATATTCTGTTGTTGGAATTTCATTTAAAAGTTCTTCAAAGTATTCTTTCCATCTGCTCAATATTTCTTCGTCACTTACTAGATTTCTTCTACTTTTGTTTTTGTAGTGTACAGGTTTTCCTTGGTACCCCTTTTTCTCATTTTTCACCCCTTGATATAAGTTTCTAATTTCTCTATTTCTATAGCTCTGTTCTATACATTTTAATTTATCTTCATTGTATTTTCTTTTCTTTGATCTTATTATTCTTTTGGCTCTTTTCCTTTGTTCATTGTATTTTCTCTCAATCTCTGTTTTTAGTATAGTATAGTATAGTAAACTGAATAATTACTATATTTAAGGTGTCATTAATAAAATAAATTTTATTGCGTGTAATAAATTATATATAAATATTATATTCATTTCATTTGCTTTTAACAAACATTCTTACTAAACATAAAATGTATAAAATTAAATAATTTACTTTTCAAGTGATTGGAATTACATTTTAAATTTTAACAATTATTGTTTGATGCCCACTGATCATCGCCTAATTACTAGCCGAACTTATTATATGGCTTTTACTGTATATTCTATTCGTCAAAATAGTTCGTAACTTTTAACCCCTGCATGCTAAATCACGCAAATAAAAAAATGTAACATTTTTTTTCAATGCACAGTAAAATAAAGGTAAATTGCTGATGGTCAATAAATAAATAAATAAAAATAATTATTCTATGATTCAAAAATATGAGTCACCTAAATAAACTTTTTACGACTAGCAATACGTTATCCCATCATCACTTTGTCCATCCAAGGCACGAACTTTTGAATATTAGTGTACACTCCCGGAAGATGTTCCCTTCCACAGCCAATACCCCACGAAACTAGTCCTATTAGTGTCTTTCGTCCTTCGACTGTTAGCGTCAAAGGTCCTCCTGAGTCTCCTTGACAGGAATCTCTACCACCCTAAAAATATCAAGTTATTATGTTATTAAAAATGAAAGAAAAATAGATTTCAAATTGAAGTATTTAAATGGTATAGTAATGGTAGTACTGATTCATCTAATATATCTGGATCTTTAATCTTATAAGAATATGGTGCTAGTCTCTCCAAAGCTATTTACGACGCTTTTGGAACATAATTGTAAGAAGGCACATCTAAACGAGCATGATATCAACATAAATGGAGAGAAGTCCAGCCACTTGAGATTTTTAAGAGGAAGAAGAAGACGTTCTTAACAGTAAAGGTAAAAGTATAAAACCATGCCTGTTTAATTTCTTCGAAAAACTGATATTCTCTTTAAGTTTTTGCACTCTGATCTATACGTAGATAAGTATTGTACCGGGTGGTCCAATAAGCCGATCTCTCGGCTATATATCAGAAACTATTCATGTTATAACTTTAGGAGAAAAAATTCCTTAGTAAAAGTGGCCAAGAGAAATCGCTGGAAATAACTTTCAAGATTCTGGATTAACCGCTAGGGGGCGTAACCTGCGAAGAAAATTTTGAAAACCAGTTTTTTGGGAAATATGTTCAATTATACCAAGTGTTAAATAAGTAAACTAGAAAGGGGCATAAATTCTGCACAAAGCTGTTTAGGTACTTTTTTTTATTTTTTCAAATAAAGGGTGGGGGAGAGTGGGAAAGTATTTGTGGATAAATACCTATAACTTTGGTTTGGATCAACCGATTTTAATGAAATTAGTGGCATTAGAAAGAGTGTGGATGAATTAATTCACATCTACTATAAAATACTTGCATTTAGTTTTCATAGTCGTAGGTGGAGGGGACTTTCAAATAAAAAAAATTAAAATTTGTTTTTCTTCAAAATTTTTAATGAAAACACCTATTTATAGTAAATTATAATGGAACTGGAATAAATTCGTAACAAAATGGAGCAAACCGCATGTTAATAGCTTTTGTTGAACTCGAGATATGAATAAAAACTCATAAACATAAGTAAGTATAGTATTGACACACCCTGTATTATAAATTACATTAAAAAATAAGTCAGTAGGTATTTTCAAATTTTTTTATAGCAGAAGAATCTTAATGTTGATACCTATTTTGTAAAAAATAGTTTTTTCGAAACTAAGTAGGCTACGACAATGAATTTGACGGGGAGTTCATATTATTTATTTATTGACAGCAGTCACATTGTTAAGAAGTGCTATATTATAATTTGAATTAAAGATTGCACTTTTTTCAATAGAGTTTAATATTGGTAATATTAGTAATTAATTATCAGTACAAATCATTCGTGATGAGTATATCAAATTGTATGATATGATTAAGTTTATTTCGAATGTCACCAAAATGCCACCATTGCCTCACGTATATATTTTGTAAGATATCCTGACAGGAGACATTATGGCAAAGAAGTATTTGAAAGAAAAGCAAAAAGATTAAGAGAAACTGGTAGTTTTTCTCGTCCTTCTTTTAAACGACGTAGTAGAGTTATGACCGAAGATAATTCAATCAATGTTCTTGCTTTAATTCAACAGAATCCACATATAGGTAGTCCGAAATCTCTACTTCTTTGCCACAATATCTCCTGCCAGGATATCTTACAGAATATATACGTGAGGCAATAGCGCCATTTTGGTGATATTCGAAATAAACTCCAATCATATCATACAATTTGATATACTCATCACGAATTATTAGTACTGATAATTAATTACTAATATTACCAATATTAATATCACAATATTAATATAACATATAACACTTCTTAACAATATTTTGACTGCTGTCAATAAATAAACAATATGAACTCCCTGTCAAATTCATTGTCGTAGCCTACTTAGTTTCGAAAAAACAATTTTTAATCATATGAAATAACAATGGTTCAACTAGGTATCAACATTAAGATTTTTCTGCTATAAAAAATTTTGAAAGTACCTACTGACTTATTTTTTAATTTATTTTATAATACAGGGTGTGTCAATACTATACTTACTTATGTTTATGCGTTTTTATTGATATCTCGAGTTCTATAAAAGCTATTAACATGCGGTTTGCACCATTTTGTTGCGAATTTAATCCAGTTCTATTATAATTTACAATAAATAGGTGTTTCCATTAAAAATTTTGAAGAAAAACAAATTTTAATTTTTTTTATTTGAAAGTCTCCTCTACCTACGACTATGAAAACTAAATGCAAGTATTTTATAGTAGATGTGAATTAATTCATCCACACTCTTTCTAATGCCACTAATTTCATTAAAATCGGTTGATCCAAACCAAAGTTATAGGTATTTATCCACAAATATTTTCCCACTCTCCCCCACCCTTTATTTGAAAAAATAAAAAAAAGTACTTAAACAGCTTTGTGCAGAATTTATGCCCCTTTCTAGTTTACTTATTTAACACTTGGTATAATTGGACATATTTCCCAAAAAACTGGTTTTCAAAATTTTCTTCGCAGGTTACGCCCCCTAGCGGTTAATCCAGAATCTTGAAAGTTATTTCCAGCGATTTCTCTTGGCCACTTTTACTAAGGAATTTTTTCTCCTAAAGTTATAACATGAATAGTTTCTGATATATAGCTGAGAGATCGGCTTATTGGACCACCCGGTACAATATGTATCGTGGTAAGACCAAATTTTTAAGGTAGTAAGATTAAATACAAAATAGAAAAGTAACAATAAAACAATATCAAAGTCAGCTGCTTTTCCAGTAAAAAGAAAAAAAATAAAAGAAAATAACATACCTCTTTATATCCAGCACACAGAAATACATCGTGAATAGTCTCCCGTCTTCCTGCAGCTCGGAACCATCTTTGGCATCTCTCGTTTGGTATAACTTCAACTTCGACCTCTTGTAATGTTGAAGGCACGGTAGCTTGTCCGTGTCGGGTTCTGCCCCAACCGGCTACTGTTGCTTTCCTTCCAACTAATTTGGTCTAAAATAAAAAATACAATATAACTTTGATATATTACAAAATGAACAGATAGATGGAGTAGCAATGGAAAGCCCACTAAACCCGGTCGTAGCCAACCTTTTCATACATACAGACTCACCATACAAGTCAAGGGTATAGTTTAGATACGTCAATGACAATTTTGTGATTTGGTGTCAAGGGGTATAAAAACTTATATTATAAACACACTACATCAAAATATTCAATTTACAATGGAAACAGAGAATCATCAACAACTAGCGTTCCTAGATATAGATCGAAAGGAAGATTACTTTGGACATAAAGTGTATCGAAAACCTGCACACACGGACAGATACCTAAACTAGAACTTAAATCATCATCCAGGCCAAAAACCAAGGTATCATCAAAACTTTGGTGGAGAGGGCGAAGAGAATTTGCGAACCACAGTATCTCCAAAGTGAACTTCTTCATATTGAAAAAACGCTCACCTCTAATGGTTATACCAGAAGAGAAATACATAAAGCGATGAACAACGTATCTAGAAGAAAGGACGAAGAAACAGAATATATAGGCAAAGCGTTCTTGCCTATATATCGGGGGTAACGGACAGATTTGGGCGAATACTTAAAAAGCCAATGTAAAGACCATTTTCAAGCCTACAAAGAAAATCAAGGATTGTTTAAGATCGGTAAAGGACAAACGCGAACCATTAGCAACGGCCGAAGTATACTGAATACCATGCAATTGTGGAATGGTATATGTGGGAACCACGAAAAGACAAACAAACATAAGGATAAACAAACATAAAAGCCATTGTCATTTAGGACATATCGATAAATCTGCCGTTGTCGAACATGCTTTGGAAAGCGAAGAACATCGGATACTGTTTGAACAGAGGCAGATGCTGGATAAAACTTCACTGTACTACCCGCGATTGTATCGGGAAGCGGTGGAAATATATAAGCATTCACACAATTTTAATTGGATAGAAAAAGGACTAGCAATTAACAATGCATGTATACCAATATTAAAATCCACAAATACCCTGCCAACAAAACACGAAGCAAGAAAAGCTACTACAATCGACGACACATTCTCTCACGCCAAAGCCAGTAGAGGGGAGGCGAGTGGAAAATATAAATATGGCCTCCGAAGTACAACGCTACAAATACACTAGTCTTGTGTTGTTTGCGAGCGCATAAACGGCTGCAGGAACAATGGTCACTAGAGAACACGGTTTTAGTTGCTGCCGAGTCAGAACACACACATTCACACAAATCCAACAGTGAAAAGGGTCCTCTTTCTGCTACCGATGCATCCTTATCACCGGTCGGGGCCGAGTTAAGCTGCACGGGACCAATGGTCACTAGAGACTCGGCCTTGTCGCATCTAGCTCTAAAAACACACAAGACCATCTTGGAAGAACATCTACTCGAACAGACTTTCTCTCGGGTTCTATGGTTCTCTGGTTCCCTGATTGTCGACTCTAAAAACTCCTCCAGGCGAAGAACAGTTGCAAAAACCAACAGAAGAAGAAGAAGAAGCTAACACGCCGGTGACTTTTAGGTATGTTTGCCTTTGTACTGCTATACATAACATTTAACCCAAGCCTGAAGAGAGTCAACCGACCCTAAAGGGGTACAAAATGTATTCTCATCCCCTCGAAATAAACAATCCTTATCCTATCCTATTGAGAAAGAACATTTATTCAGTCTCACAGCCCGAACAAACAGTTTAACAAGTAACACAGGAAAGTCCTGAAATTAGTATTTTCACGACCAGAAAAAAACCCATTACCTTCTGCTCGATGACATATACAAGCAAAATATCAACAAAAATAGCCAAATACATAAAAAAGAAAGAAATAACACCAGATTTTAGACTAAATAATAACTTAGGCAAATATAATAAAAACAAGAAGATCCAAAATATAAAGCACTTACACACTGGTGTACACAAACTTAAATGTGGCGACTGTCCAAAAACTTACATAGGTCAAATTGGTAGAACTTTTAACCAACGTATACCAGAACATACAAGAACTTTCAATAATAGAAAAACAGATTCTACATACGCACTTCACCGCATAGAAAATAATCCTTCGTTTAATAACGAATTTCAAATTCTTCACATCCAAAATAAAGGAACTAAGCTATCTAGCGATTAGAATCCGTGGAAATTACTAAATAAAAAACACAGACATAATCCTGAATGACTAACTTGAGACAAACAGTTCTCCCCTCTTCAACCTATTTCGTTAAAGACTATAAAGTGTTAATATATACCAAAAATAGATTACTTGAGAAAGGCACTTTGCCAAAATAGCTGTGGTGATAAGATTTTATAATAAATTTTGTGGAAGTTTTGAAAACAAAGTTTTCAGTGTTTTATTGATGTAGCATTAAAAATACTTACAGTGGGAGAAGGAAGACAAACTGGTAATATGTGCTGCTTAAAACGAACGTTTCTGTCCAATTTTACTAGAGCTAAATCGTTTTTAAAATCTGAAGGTGAATACGATGGATGTACCTCTTTTCTTTCCACTGAATATTCCTCATACGGAAGTTTTTCTTCCTGGTCCCGTACGTCCCATTCTCCCAAACGGATGCGAATATTTCCGTTTGCCGTTCTAAAAATATTAGAAACAAAAATAAATAAAACAAAAACAAGTTGTATGCATTAAACATATTTAAATATATAAAGAGATAATATTAAAACTAAAAGAAATAATCATTCTCAGTGCATATAGTCGGTTCGCTATTCCCAGTCCGAACTGTCTAGTGAATTTAGTAATTTTTTTTTGCGAAGTTAGTTACTTTTTGACAGACTAGAAGTGGCTGCTGGAAATTACTAAACAACCAAGCACGCGTGCTCATAGCCGATATTAATAGGAAACAAACGTAAATAAAACAGAACTTTATTAATTAGCGACTAATCGGATAAATTTTGGATTAAACTTGATTAAACTTCATTAGTTTATTGAAACTATTCTTAAGAAACTAAAGCTAAATGTTACCAAAAACTTTTTGGTTGCCTAAATTTGGCGCAAGTCAACGATGTAATTGTTATATAATCTTTTTTATATAATGTATTTTTTATAAATAGGAGAAATTTACTTTCATCATACATTGGATAAATTTCTAAGCGAATTTGATTTTTGACGTTATCATTTGTCAATCGTTTAATTTCTTTTTGCGATTTTTCTTCTTTAATGTTGAGGTTTGTGTTAGGTCCATCTTTATCTTTTCACACACTTTTTCATGAGACTTTCAGGCATCTGGATGTTAACTGAAATGTTTTTGTTATTAAGAACATTTGTAACATTTACATAATTCGATAAATATAGTTTAATGATCAATTTATCTCAACGGGGTTTTCATACATTAAATATTAAAAAAATGTTAGACATTTTGAATAAACCTTTGTTCAGTTTCATTACCTTGTAATTTAAAAGCAATCTTACTCATCTAAAATATTAGCTTTTAAAGAACATTTTATCATATTTATTTTAAAAAAACTTGCCAACGCATTGGCCAATGATACAAATGGAAAACTTTGACTATCCATAATGATAAAATTCAAAATAAAACTAACTAATTAACTAAATAGAACTAACAAAGAAGTAAACAAAAATAATAAAACTATAATAAATAAAATAAACAACGCGAATAATACAAATGTTTACAATATGTTAAATTATAATACCTAAAATATTATATTTTAAATATACAGGGACAATTTTATGGGTTTAGTATACACTTCCATTATTTAGAATAATTCTTTTTTCAAAGGAAGAAGTCTGCAATAGTAGTATATTTAAGCCAGGGATGGCCAACCCGCGGCACGCGTGCCACTCTGTGGCACGATTGAGTCCTATCAGTGGCACGATTGAGTCCTATCAGTGGCACGCGTAGCGTGCCACTGATAGGACTTTCAAACTGATCAAACTTTCAAAAAAATTAAAACTTGAAAAACAAAAAATAATAAGAAGAAACTTGGTAGGTTTACGGAAGTTACGATAGATGCGGCATCATTGCATCCTCTGGCGAGCGATATTGCTGCGATTGGTGCACGTGATCCTAGCTGTCGTAATGTGCAATAGGACTGCGTTACCCTTGCTTAGTTTATTTTAAACTGCCCCGTTGTATGTGCACATTTTGTCATCGCGCATTGTTTCTTTAAAATTTCAAAAGTATTTGTTCGATATGTCCACGAGTAAGCCTTCGACTTCTAAACGAAAATACGAAGATGATATTGCAATTCGCGATTTTCAACCTGCTTGAGAAGAACAATTTTTATTTACTAATCGTAATACTTCAAAGCCTGTTTGTTTGATATGTGGATTGTCTGTAGCAGTTCCGAAAAAATTTAACCTGGAACGACATTATAAACAACTGCATAAGGACTTCAGCAACAAATATTCTATTGGTTCACATTTGCCAGCCGACTTTATTGAAAAAAAAAAGAAAACCCTAACCAGCCAACAGTCACTGTTTCAGAAGAGAAGTGATGAAATTGAAACTATGGTTAAAACATCATATGAACTTTCTCTGCTGTTAGCCCGGAAGAAAAAAGCCTACTCTGATGGAGAGGAGATAATTAAAAATAGTCTGGCAATATTTGCTAAAAATGTGGGAGATGTAAAGATCATAAATACGGTCGATAATATTGCATTATCCCGAAATACAGTCATGCGCCATATAGATGATATGGGCCAGGATGTTGTTTCCTAAATTATAAGTGGATTACAATCCTGCAAATTCTTTTCTTTAGCGTTGGAAAATGCGCAGTTAAGATTTTTGTCCGTTATACCAATGATAATTTTGAAAATGCCGAAGAGCTTCTGGATTTGAGCCAACTAGTCACAACAACAGAAGAGGACATTTTTCAACAGCTTAAAAACGTAATCGAAGTCAACAAAGTTGAATGGTCAAAATTAGATAGTGTTTGTACAGATGGAGCTCCTTGCATGGTTGGTAGACTAAAGGGGTTTGTTACATTACTGGAAAAC